GGTCATTCAGATTCCTGTTTGAGATAAGCAAAAGGTCTACCAAGTGCTCATTTAGATGAATTCCTTGATCTGCAAATGAAAGGTTATTTGCCCATTCCAAGTACTGCTCATTTAAATGAATTCCTTGGTCTACCCCTAGCTCTTCTAGATCTTCAATGTGTAACAAACCACATTGAAAACATAGTCAATAGGGAAGCAAAACAAGTTTTGGCCTATTCAATAATTCCTTGGTCTATCCCTTAAATTTTAGTGCTTAGAAATATATCTTCTAAAGCATTTATGACATTATCTTCTAATATCTGACAATCCATTGTTGATTAAGTTTGTAACATATATATCTCTTGTGTAGTGACATCAAGTCTTGTGGTGGGAAAGGAATTTTTCTAATTCTGCACCAAAGCTGATTAAAGTTGCGAAATTTTCAATATATGGATATTTTTATGTTGGTTTATGTATGTGGCTGCATTAAATTTCTAGTAGTGGATGGTGAAGAAGCCGTCTGCAATGAAATCATTTGCTCCTTGACCAAGTCTCTAATGCCAACTAAGAATATCATATGTGACTATGTGACTGGTCAATTCAATTAAATGATTTAAGAGAGAGAGAGAGGTTTGGGTGGTTTAAGTGATTTTTGAACCCTTTATTCCTTTATTTGTTTCCTCTAATAGAAGAATGCTTTAACCATCAAAATCACTAATTAACTAAATATGTTTAGCACCAAACATCCACACATTTAGTGGAGATACTTGAAAGAAAAAAAAAAGATAAGTGAAATGCTTTTGGACAACAAAATATTACTCTAAATATAATAGTAGGACAGACAAGAACCAGAGCACTGTGCATTATATGAATACAGAGGGACCCATCACCTACTCATCAGTCATTAGTGTATGAACAAGTTACATAAACAACAAGAATAGCAAATATTCATTTCTTTCTTAGTGCTCCCCAGGGAATTGCCTAAAAGAGCAAAATAAAAAAATCTTGGGAATAATGGTTTTCAGTCAATATGTTTGGGTGAATCTAGCCACAGTCAACTATGGAGCTCAAATATTGAGAAATATATGTTTCCAAAATCAGTGTTTTCTGGGCATAAGCGCGTGGGATTATAACAAAAGATGTAATCACTTCACAAAAAAAAAACAGTAAGAGATTTTGAAAAGATAAGTGACAATGAAAGTAAAAAGTTTAAGTTATATGGTGGACATAGAATAAGCTAAGCRTAGTTGAATGCCATCAATCAATCAATATATCAAAGTAGGCATTCTGTTCTTATGAAGCTTCTGAAGTTTTTCAAAACTTTAGCTTCCTGTGGTTCTAATGTTCTATTTCTAACAAAATGTTGAAATCCATGAAATTAAAAATCTTAAATTCTTGAGGTGCCAATGGGCTCATCCTATACTAGCCCAGTTGCCTAAAAAATTCTTAAAACTCAATCACAAGCAGATAGAGGAAATCTAATTAACAACCATATCAGAGATGACAACAATAATTAAATGAAAATTAAGAAGAAAACAATAGGGAAATAAAAGCAAGACTGCAGGAAGTGGCAAGCAATGAATTGGTGCAGATGGGACATAAAGTGATCTATGCAAGGTGGAGTCATGGGTATGGTCTTACTTAGATTCTAATCTGACGTCAGGAAAAAAAGTTCCCCCTCGTGTAGGGCCCATGTGAATCATTTTTCTGAAAGCAAATACTCAACTTTGCCACTTGGTTAAATTTCTATATTCAGAACATGTAGGAAAACAGATTTTATATTCTGAAAGGAACAAAGCATATTTTAGATGGGTGAGTTGATGAGAGTCGTAAAATTTTGATGATCAAGCTTTGGTGGGGGCGGGGGGCCTCCTCGTTATGATTATTCGAATATACAATGCTTAATAGCAAAGCAGCTTATGAGGACCATACCACAAATACCAATTAAACCAGTACTGATCATTGTGGACATGCAGACCCCAGAGGCCCAGATCCATCTCTTCTTCCTCTTCAATTGGGGATTTATCTTTCTCTCAATTTCTCAGTGGTACTACATCTACATGTAAATATGTAATGTAAGGAAAGGGAACAAACAGATGGCTTCAGACTGATCAGGCAAGGTAAGTTCCCTCATGTCTTAATACTCGCAATGTAAACTAGAAAGGACAGGTTGTTGGCTGATATCTAAAGGGCAGATTGTTCCCTCGTATCAATATATTTGGGTGAATCTTTCCCTTGCTTAGTTCCCTCATTGTGTTCATGGTTATCTATACATAGATTGTTTAAGGGTGTGCCCTACCATACCTTGTACAGTTCCTTCTCCCTTGTACAGTTCCTTGGTGTACAAAGGATCATACRTACCTGTTCTGTTCAGATACACCATCCCATACCAAGGATGGTTTGGAAAAGAAAAGAAAAGAAAAGAAGCTTCTTCTACTACCATCCCGGACCAGGGATGCTCTGCTGCTCCTCTATAAACTCCGCCTAAACCCAAGGGGCCAAGATCAGAATTGATCTAAACTTGGGCATTAATTTAACATCAGAATTGATTACCAAAGAAATAACTCAACATCAGAGTTGGATCAGTGTGGTCCATTGAACAATGGGTGTTACTTTCTACAAGTGGGTCATACCAAGTTGGAAATAAACTACTATTTTGTTCTTAATGTATTACATGCAGTCTCAGCTGCTCTCCAGCAATGATTCAAAGCTCTATATACAAAGGGAATGATTTCTGCAGGAAGGCTCAAGCCCTAAAGCTGTCGCATTCCAATGGGCTCCAGATCTAATCTGTGTCAACCAAGTCYAGATTTCTATAGCTTTGTTTGCCCTAATTGTTATCATACCTATCAGTTCACCCAACTCTATATTAGCTTTGTCTGCCTTAGTTGTGCCATGTGTGTGGCTACAGATCAATTACCATCTACAGATAGCCAGTATTGTTTTTAACTTTTTATTCCCATGTCTATGTAGGAGAAACCATTAGTTCATGCATGTTTCTGTTTCTCAATGCATTAATTGATTTGCTAAAAAAACAAAGAATACAGATCTGTAATTGCATGTCCTTTCATACTGGGAAAGTGATTTCTAATCTGTGGGTCTTGACTATTACCATCCATTGAATAAATTAATAAGGTTGTCTTCCCCCACTAGAACACTTCTTTTCAGATTGCCAATTTGCCATTTCATGAAATCTGGGCCCACAAATGGATTATTTAGAATCTAGTTAATTTATCAAATTGAAATCATATCAAGAAAATATTATGTTTTGTTCTTTAATTAGCTTAGGTTGACCAATTCTCTTGCTTTTTAACCAAACATCGGCGAAGCAGACCCTTAAAGAAGGAAATTGATTGATTTCTTCAATTCCATAATCAAAGGAATATTTATATTCTAGAAATTCAAAAACAAGGTCGAGAAATCAGATTTTAATTTGAAGATTTCCATTTTCTGAAATGGCACAAATCCGAATCAACCATATTAGCAAATACCTCTTAGAATAATTGAACTCAAGCCTGGCTCATACAATAAAATATCAAAATTAATATGAATATCTGCGAAGCTTACCTTAATTTTCAGCTGATCAAATTCATTCAACCATACCAGACTATAAATTAAAGGGCGGTCTACTTTTTAACCATAAATTAATCTCAGGTGCTGCCTAATGACAAAGCTAGCTCAGCGGTCAGCTCAGAGCAGACTGCTGCTTAACTGATAAACCACTTGAAATAAGCATTAACTGTTTAAGTATGCCATTAATGGCAAAATAGTGGATTAGCAGTTTTCAAGGGCCAACCCAAAACCATGGGTACGTCTTAAGCTTCCAGTTCAAGGAGTTGTCTTCCCAACTTCTAAATGGGTGGTTAGGTGCTCACGATCGAAGAAACTCTTAATTGTATTAGTGCAAATTAACTATGAAAACGTCAAACATAAAAAAGAAAAGCAATAAGAACAAGATAAATGATGGCAAAAAAATAACAGCAAAGCAATAAGGAAAATAACAACAATAATTTATACTTAAAAAAATGTATAAATTCCATAAAAATTCGAACACACAAATACCAATAAGGAAAATAATGAAGAGACAAAAATTGATCGAATACCTTAATCGATGCTGCTTTCTTTTAATGCTTATAGGGATGATATTGGTGGTCAATTTAAAAGGGGAAAAAACAGAGTAAGAAGAAAAAGAAGAAGGAGGAGAAGGAGGAGGAGGTATCCATTTTCTATGCGCAGCTTGAGAAGGAAATGAAGAAGAAGAAGAAGAAGACAAAGAGAGAGAGAGAGTTTAGCTTGGTTTCTCTTTGGATCGTTCCTAGCTTTGGGACTTCAACAGGTCGGGATCGATCTCACCGTTACTTTGTACAGAGCGAGAGAGAGAGTCGATTAATTTACCTTGTACAAATTTCAACAGATCGAGATACCTCAGTAGAGATAGAAAGAGAGAGGGGCGGGGTTCCACTGACTTCAATCGAGAGGACTCGAACTCGAACAAAAAAAAAAAAAAGGATGGGGCACGGAAAATTTTCATGCCACAAATTTTTGCCGAGACCCAAATTGCATTATGGGAAGAATGAGTCTTGCGGCCAAAAATGAATATCCAAACACCTACATTTCATTCATTCTTGTCCATTCTTTTTCAGAATCTGCAAGAATTAAAAGAATAGGCCACTGGCAGCGAACCAAACATGGCCTAAGGTGCTCAGTTAGATAAGGGAAAATTTGCTACTTTAGCATCATTTTTTGGCTATGCTATGCATATTAGTGCTATCGCCAGTCGGATGCATCCATTCACTAATCACTGCACACTGTGATTGAACCAATGTGCTATGCATATTGGTGTTCTTAGGTTCCTGGAATGCAGTACTTGCTCTGTTCTACAGAAAGGTATCACTGCCCGAATGATTGAATCAATAAGGAATCCATGACAGTTTAGCTGTCTTTGTCTTTTTCAGCAAACCAACATTCAGTTCCATTTGTTTTCACCTTATTTGCTTTCATCGTGTTTACAAGTGTGTACCTACTTTTAGCGAACTACACCACCCATCCTCCTCCTTTGTTAGGGCAAAAATAATGTGATTTGCATGGTTTTTAAAAACGAACCGGTAACCGAATCGGTCAGGGGTCCGGTTATGGTTTGAATGTTCCGACCATTCGACTCAAATGGCCGGCCCGTTCTAACAAAAAAATTTAAAAATTTAAAAATTTGGAAAACGGTTAACTGTCTGGTTCAGCGGTTTACTGACCAAAATCAACGGTTTTAAAGGAAAAAGTGGTTTTGAAGATAAACGGAACCGATCACCTCCCAGTTTTCCGGTCTGGTTCGGTTTTGAAAACAGTGGTGATTTGCCAAAAAGAAAAGAAAAAAAAACCATAAAGCAAGTGAGTTGATAGGATATGCTAGTCAACCCACTCCAGGGAGCTTTTAACATTGCTCCACCAGAACAGTGCATGATCCTAAAGTTACTGTTTTATTGTTGCCGCTGAAAATCCTTGTTTTCTGTTTCATTATCCAAGGAGGAAGTCCACGGAGAAGAGGATAGGAGAGGAATAGAAGTCTTGACACAATTGAACTAGGTTGGTGATTTGGCCTTTCTACATCTTGCTGAAGAGTTACATCCACTGCATTTTTTTTTCTTGTGATCCCCAGTAAACCATAGAGATGTTAGCAAACTAGTCAAAAAGTAGATCATTTTGTATCTCGAATTTTAAACAAACTGCTGACTGCTGAATGTGATCTCGTTGCGGAACACTCACTGAGATATTTTAAGAGTT